AGATGCATTGGCAATGGTGCAGTACACCCCCCCATCCAATGTTCCCCCTCATATACCCTACAAGCACTCTTTTCTCACAGCCGAAGTGCCCCCCCTTGAAAGACGGGCGCCTCGTGGGCCGGGCATTCATGAGAGAATCCCGCTTGGGAAAAAAGAGTTGCCGACCATCGAAATCCGCCGACCCCTTGTGGGTCTCTAGGCGTGTGAGATTGTTCCCCCCCCATAATCCCCCCCCAGGGACCCCGAACCGGAGATTTGACCCCCCTTCCCCGGGCCCGGTACGAACGCGCCACGGGAGGGCAGAGGGCTCCAAAACGGGCCAAGAGGGCACCTTGAAGCTTCCCAGACGGTCCAAGAGGCCTCCAAGATGCCCCAAGAGGCCGCCTAGACGCCCCAAGAGGCCTCGAAGAGGCTCCGAGAGGCCTCCAAGACGCCCCAAGAGACCTCCAAGACGCCCCAAGAGACCTCCAAGAAGCCTCCAAAGAGGGCCCCAAGAAGCCAAAATCGTTGATTTTCATTGTTTTTCAAATGTTTTTGGCATTTTCACCTTTTCGGCTTGCCGACGCTCCACGACCGCCCAAGAGACTCCCAATACCGCTCCAAGACGGCCCAAGAGACCCCCCACGACGCCTCCAAGACGGCCCAAGAGGGCCCCCAGACAGCGCAGGAGGGCCCCCAGACGGCCCAAGAGCCGCTCAAGCAGCCCAAGAGGCTACCGAGGCGGGCCCAAGAGGGGCTCCTGAGAAAGACCACGAACGGAAAAATCCAGCCTTCCGCCCCAAGAGGGCCCCAGGACGCCCCACAGAGGCCCCAAGACCTCCCCAAGAGGGCCCCAAGAAAACAAAAAGAGGCCCAAAAGAGGCCCTCAATCGGCCCCCGAGAGCCTTCGAAACAGCCTCCAAGAGGCCGGCGAGAAGCCCCCCCCCCAAGATCCCAACGGTTATCCCCGAACGCACCGGTTTTTGGATCCCGAGGGAAACAGGCCACGGACTGGACCCCAGGGCTTCCCCCCTGGACCAACGCTTCACACCGACCCGTCCGCTGAAGGCCCCCCCGTCCCCCGCTAAACTCACCAGGGGGAGATTGGCCCTCCCTGGGCTCGCTCCAGAGCTCCACGACACCCCCTGAGGCCTCTCAAGAAGCCCCCAAGACAGTCCAAGAGGACCCCGCCTCGCCGAAAGACGGTTCCAAAACGCCCAAGATGGCATCCAAACAACCCAAGATGCCCTCAAGCCGCCCCAAAAAGCCTCCAGAGGCCACCCGCGACCGAGCGATAGACGCTAAAGAAAAAAACAAGGGGGCCGAAAAGGGCCCCAGGAGGGGCCCAAGAGCGCCCAAGAGCGCCCCAAGACGCCCCAAGATAACCCCAAGAGGCCCAAAGACGGCCTCCAAGAGGCTCCAGAGAACACTCCCAGACCCCACGCCCTACGCCTCCGGGCCTCCGCCCCCCTCCCCGTGCTCCCTCGCCGTCCTCCCTAGGACCTCCGACGTCGCCGGGGCGTCGGGGGTCACAGATTCGGCGTAGTCTGGTCGTATCTGTGACCCCAACATGCCGTTGTCCGAGCTGTTCAGGACCGGACATGTCTGAGCCCAGAGTTGGAAGGATGCCTCAGGCGAAACGAGCCGCCTCGTGAGCGGCATCTCTGAGCCCGGAGTTGCGATGATGTGTCAGGCGAGACTGGCTGGATCACCTCAGGTCAGGGCGTAGCTGAGCCCAGAGTTGCGAGGACGTTTCAGGCTCAGGCCAGACTGGCTGGACCACCTCAGCCCACGGCAGATCTGAGCCCAGTATTCCGAGGATGTCTCAGGCGTCGTCGTCGTCGACGCCATCATCGTCGTCATCGTCGTCGTCGTCGTCGTCATCGTCGTCCGTCTCCTCCTGCCATAGCAGGCCAAGAATGCTACGTAGATACAATCATGCGATACATATCACACGGAACGTGCCCCGGGGCCAGAAAACGGCCCCGGGGCCAGAAAACGGCCCCGAAGAATACAATCCGAGGCCGAGTGTCAACCAAAACAGGCGAGACCATTTTTTGATGAGAAATTGCTGCTCAAGGGAGAGAGAGAGAGAGAAGAGAGAGAGGCGGAATCTAACACACGCACACACAACACGCACACACACACACACAAGCGCAGTCAACCCAAGCTCCCGTTCGTCCCGTGTCGCGTTCACGCTGCAGTGCTGCCCGCATCGTCATCTACTCAAACTGAATACCACCCTCCTCTCTCCCCCGCAGTTGCGGGAACCGCTCGCAACGACCCGGACAACAAAGAAAACACAAGACCCCATTTGGGGTCGGCGGCAGAGGCGGCAGCCTTTAAATTATTTCATAATCATCATCATCGTCGCCATCGTCGTCATCGTCGTCATCGTCGTCGTCATCACCAGCATCATCGTCATCGTCGTCATCATCATCATCGTCATCATCATCATCGTCAACAGCATCATCATCAGCATCATGAGCATCATCCTCATCATCATCAACATCACCATCGTACTCGTCATCGCCATCGCCGTCATTATCGTCATCAGCAGCAGCAGAATTCTCATCAGCACCAGCATCAACATCATGATCAGCACCACAATAATAAGAATATGAGTACGAATAATCATGAACCAAGAAATAATCACAAGTATGGAGTATGATAAGAATGGCCAACATCATCGTCATCCTCATCATCATCAACATCATCAGCATCATCATCACCAGCAGCATCGTCATGATCATCATCATCATCATCATCATCATCATCATCATCATCATCATCATCATCATCGTCAGCATCATCGCAATTATCGTGAGCATCATTATCACGGTCATCATCATCATCATCATCATCATCATCATCATCATCATCACCGGCATCATCATCGTCGTCACCATCGTCGTCATTAGCACCATCGTCCTCATCATCATCATCGTCGTCGTCGTCGTGGGTCGTCGTCGTCATGGGCATCAGCATCAGCGTCAGCATCATCATCATCATCATCATCATCATCAGCAGCAGCGTCATCATCATCATCATCATCATCATGAGCATCATCATCATCATCATCATCATCATCATCATCATCATCATCATCATAAGCAGCATCGTCAACATCATCATACTCCTCCTCCCCGTCCTCTTCATCATCAAATTAGCCATCAGCATCAACTCCACATCCGGCGTCGTCGTCAGCATCGGCATCATTATCATCGGCATCATTATCATCATCATCATCATCATCATCATCATCATCATCATCATCATCATCATCATCATCATAATCATCAACATCATTTTCATCATCATCATCATCATCATCATCATCATCAGAATCAGCACCATCATAAGCATCAGCAGCAGCGGCAGCACTATCAGGATCATCATTATCATCATCAGCAACAGCAGCACCACCACCACCATCATCATCATCATCATCATCATCGTCGTCGTCGTCGTCATCATCATAATTGCCAGCACGGTCATCGTCATCAACATCGGCATCATGATCAGAACTATCATCATCATTATCATCATCATCATCATCATCATCATCATCATCATCGTCATCATCATCATCGTCAGCATCAGCATCACAATCGTCATCATCAGCAGCATCATTAAAATCATCATAATCAAAATCGGCATTAACGTCATCGTCATCATAATCATCAGCACCACCACCACAATCATCATCATCACAAGCAGCAGCAACATCATCAACATCACCATCATCATAATCGTCAGAACCAGAAGGAACCTCAACCGGATCAGCATCAACGTCGTCATCATCGCCAGCATCAGCATGACCGTAATCCGCATCATCACCAGTATAATCCTGACCAGCAGCAGCATCATAATCGTCATGGTTGGCATAATCAGCATCATCATCACCATCATCATCACAACCATCGTCATCCCCATAAGCAACTGCACTAGCATCATCATCATCATCATCATCAGCAGCAGCATCATTGTCATCATCATCATCATCAGTATCGACATCAACATCCACATCCTCATCAGTAGAAGCCTCATCCTAATCATCATCACCATTATCTCACCGTCCTCCTCATGACCATCATCATCAGCATAATCAACATCATTGGCGTCGTCGTCATCACCGTCAGCATCACAATCAGCAGCTTCACCAGAATATCCAACATTACAATCGTCAGCAGCATCGTCATCATCATCATCATAATCATCATCAGCATCATCATCGTCACCATCATCATCATCATCAGCAGTAGCATCATCATCACCATCGACATAAGCATCGTCAGCAGCATTGTCACCACCACCATCACAATAGCATGATCACAAGCATCATCATCACAATCATCAGCAGCAGCATCATCAGCATCAGCACAAACATAATCATCGACACAAGCATCATCAAGCATCAACAGCATCATCATCAGCATCATCGTCGTCATCCTCATCAGCATCAGCATCAGCATTCGCATCAGCATCCGTATCATCATCATCATCATCATCATCAGCAGCAGCAGCAGCAACACCATCAGCATCACCATCATAATCCGAATCAGCATCATCATCATCATCAGCAGCAGCAGCAACACCATCAGCATCGTCATCTTCATCATCATCAGCACCATACTCATACTCATCCTCGTCCCCGTGCTCCTCCTAATCACTTCTCTGGGATGCCGAGCCTTTCGGGGCCACACTCGTCACCACGGCTGGACGCGCCTTGGGAGACGGATCAGGATAGTGCCTGGGAGGGGCCTGAAGCTCGGTTTCGAACTTTTGTTATGCCTGCTCGGGTGAATGAACACCCCTTTCGAAGGGGACGACCACAGGTCTGACCATTCTACCTGCAAAAATCCAGAATTCGTGTCCAAAACACTCACCTACTACCCCGTCTCCTCCTCCTCCTCCTCCTCCTCCTCCTCCTCCTCCTCCTCTTCCTCCTCCTCCTCCTTCTCCACCCCCGCGCTCCTCCTACTCCTCGTCCTATTCGCTGCTGGGGTTGGCCGCCAGACGTGTCCTTGCTGCTCAACACGGTCTCCTCGCTGTCGTCGATCATCTGCCAGAAGCTGGAGCCCATCGGGGGCGCCGAACCTAGAAGACGACGACGAGAAACACGACGACGACGACGAGGAGGACGAGGACGAGGACAACGACAAGGACAAGGACAAAGATAGCAGCAACAACAGCAACAACGATCAATTTAAGACTGCTCGCTCTTATCTGATCGCGTGCCATTCAACACGTATATCCCAAACCCTGGATATCCGCCATCTTCGTGTTCGATCGTACCCTCTTGGGGGTAGATGTTTCTTACCTGCAACGCGTATTTCGTGCAGCCCTCAAGCAAGGGAAGAGATGACGGATGGAAAGAAGGGTCAAGGGGGAGGTAGGAGGATGGAGCAAAAGAGAAAGCAGCAGGAGGGGGGCCACGAGCAGAAAACATGTGGCAGAACCAGGCGGACAAATCGGGATGCATTCGCAGAGGCCCTTGCCAGAGGCCCCAGATCTCAATAGTGGCGCTCTCGCTCGAAACTTGCTCGTATGTCAGGCAAGTTGGTGGAGGCCCAGACACGGCGACAAGGGCTCCTGCTCAATATTTCTCCATCATATGTATTCCGAGAGACCCTGGCCGGAGAGGCCCCCGAACTGAGAAACGGCACTCTCGCTTGAGAGTTCATCGAGTTTCAATCAGTGGCCGACAAGGAAGTCAGGAAGAGATTCTCCTCGAAAGGGGGCGCGATCAAAGACGAAGTGGGCGGGTATCGAAGGTTGTGGTATACAGAATGCAAGACCGGCGTGCCAGTAAGAGCGAACAGTCGTAAAATGATTGTTGCTATTGTTGTTGTTGTTGCTGTTGCTATTGCTGTTGCTGTTGCTGTTGCTGTTGCTGTTGCTGTTGCTGTTGCTGTTGCTGTTGCTGTTGCTGTTGTTGTTGGGGGGGCAGTTTCGGCGCACCCTTAAAAACGCCTGAGCGCGAGCCTCGATTTCAGAGAAAATGCAGCCAGCACCAAGGCGAGAGCGCCAGGGCGGATTCAGGGGGTCCAACCTAATAAGTATTAGCAACCTAGGTTCAACGACAACAACAGCAGCAACAAATACAACAACAAACACATCCACAACAAAAAACAGCAATCACTACCACAACAACAACAACAACAACAACAACAACAACAACAACAACAACATCTTCAACAACAACAACAATCAGTTTAAGACTGTTCGCTCATATCTGCTCACATGCCAACCAACACGTATATCCCAAACCCTCGGCACCCGCCCTCGTCGTTTTCGATCGTACCCCCTTGGGGGCATATCGTCCTTACCTGCCACGTGCATGTAGTGTAGTTCCTAAAACAAGGGAAGAGAAGACGGGTGGAAGGGGGAGGGAAAAGAATGTAGCACAAGAGAGAAATTAGCAGGAGGGGGGCAAAGACCAGAAAACAAGTGATAGAACCAGACGGGTAGATCGGGTGGGCAAACCCATAGCGGGCAGATCGGAAAGACAAGCCCAGGCGACCAGGTCGGGCGGTTTGCTGAAGCGTGGGTCCTGCACGAATCACGAGGAAGTCTCGAGCGATAGCGCGATTCCCAAGTAAATCGTGAGAAGCGGCAAAGCGAGAGCGTGACTGCTGAGCTCCGAGGGCGCATCGTCTGAAGAAATTGCGGAGAAGTCCAACGCGAGAGCGCGATTCGTAAACAAATTGTGAGGAAGCCCCGCGCGAGAGCGCAACTTGGGAATAAATTGTGAGGAAGTATCAGGCGAGAGCCGCTGTTGTTGCAAACCTGGAAACAACAACACAGTTTGACCCCCGTGACTTTCCCTGATGAAAAAACAGAGTGCGAGCCCCCGGGGAAGCACTGCAATAAAAAAACAATGGTCACCAGAAGGGGGGATCAACAATAATTATCTTCAGCAATGAATTCAACAGGAACAACCGCGACGACGACGACGACGACACAGACGACGACACAGACGACGACGACGACGACGACGACGACGACGACGACGACGACGACGAGGACGACGAGGACGACGACAGCGAAGACGGACATCGACAAACAGGACGAGGACGACGACGACGGCAACGACGGGAGGAGGAGGAGGAGGAGGAGGAGGAGGACGAGGAGGAGGAGCTGGAGCCCATCGGGGCCTTGTGCACAGATAAGGAGGAGGACGAAAAGGAAAAGGTGGACGAGGTGGAAAAGGACGAGGTGGACGCCAAAGACCAACCGCATGAGGGAGGGGAATTCCTCGGCCTCTTGGCCGCTCCGGGCTGCCCCACCCAGGATCGTGCGCTGCATCTTCGGGGGGTCCTGTGCCATGTCCCGTCGCACCGCGATCCGCGTCGAATCCGCGTCGAGTCCGCGTCGAATCCGCGCCGAAAGCGTCGAGGCCGCGTCGAATCCGCGTCCCGTCCACGCTGACCGCACGGCGAATCCGCCCCGACCGCGCGTCGGACGTAAGGAAAGACTGCAGCTTATACAGGGCAGGCGAGGTCCTCCCGAAGATGCGACGCAAAGGAGCCCCAAGGGCGCCACAGGTCGGTCCCCAAGGGACCCACAAGAGGTTCCCCGCAGCGCCCGAGGAGAGCGAACGAACGAACACGCCGCGCCCTGACGGCGCATCGGCAGCAACTGCAAGTAAAATTAGCACATGTGTGGTACCGTGCAGAGGAGGACGCTGCAGAGACGCTGAGCAGCAGCAGTGCCTCGGTCGACAGGCGCTCGGCACTTTGTCCATACGCCCGAGGAGAGCCCGCGGTGAACCCCAGGGGAGCCCAGGGCGGCTCGAGATGGCCTCGGGGCGGCGCCCGAGTCGGTCCGGCGGGGCCCTGCAGAGCCCAGGCCGCAAGACGCTCCAGGACGGCAGCACATCGTGGAACAATATTGCACCTCTCTGTGTCTCCACTCGTAGGGGGCTCGCAAGGGTCTGGAAGTTCGTTTCTGGGAGCTGGTGGCCGAAGCTCCAAGAGGGCAACGAATCGTGGAACAACCTTGCGATTTTCAATATCTCCTCTCAGGATGTAGCAATCTGACTTCAACACGGCCCCCAAGAGGCCCCAGGATAGCTCTAGGATGGCCGAAGATGGCACCTTGAGGCCCGAAGATGGCATCAGGGCCCCCCGATGTCGGCCCAGAAGAACACCAAGTCGGCCCCCGAGTACCACCGGGAGTCCCCGAGATGGCCCCCAGATACCCCTAAGATAGGACCAGCATGCCTCGAGACAATCCCAGAGGTGGCCGCAGAGGTCCCAGAGAAGCCCCCTGAGAGAGCCTCCTGGCAGCGCAGCAAAGCCGAAAGAATAGCCCTGATAAGGTGGTCCCGTCTTAGCTTGGGGCCAGGCTCGTGTCGCCCACTGGGCGACACGAGCCCGCCCTCGTCCAAGCGAGCTATCCCCAGGCATGCCCAAGCTGGCTTCGCGCTTCGCCCGAGGGGCTGTCAGTCGAGGGCGCAGCCGCTGAGATACCGCGACGCAGTCCTGGGCAACAGCGACCCACATCGGCCTCTGGGCTGCACGCGAAACGGCGCGGATGACCAGAAAAGACCTCTAGAGGCCTCTCAGATGTGCTCCGAACAGGTGGGGTCGGAGGATCGAACCGCATCTCCGATGCATCGGCGATGCATCGGCAACGAAAATCGGGCTCCACATCGAGCCGCATCGCCGATGCATCGGCCATGCGGCGCGCTCCTCCGACCCCATCTGCTCGGACCCCATCTAGGAAGCCTAGAACCTCATCCTCTCCGCCCTGTGTGGAGCTCCCCCTCCTCCTCCTCCTCCTCCTCCTCCTCCTCCTCCTCCTCCTCCTCCTCCTCCTCCTCCTCCTCCTCCTCCTCCTCCTCCTCCTCCTCCTCCTCCTCCTCCTCCTCCTCCTCCTCCTCCCCCCCCTCCCCCTCCCCCTCCTACTCCCCCTCCTCCTCCTCCTCCTCCTCCTCCTCCTCCTCCCTCCTCCTCCTCCTCCTCCTCCTCCTCCTCCTCCCCGTCCTCATGCTCCCCTGCAGAACCGGCGTCCGCGAGGATCATCTCGGAGCTCCGCCCAGCCTCGGAGCAGCTCTTTCGCGGGGGGCACCCTCCTAGGCTGCCGCTGGCCCGCACGCCGGCGGCGCACCCAGCCAGCAGCCCGACGCAGCCGGGCTCCGATGCAGCTGGGCTCCGACGACGAGGAAGACGACGACGACACAGACGACGACGACGACGACGACGACGACGACGACGACGACGACGACGACGACGACGACGATACAGACGACGACGACGACGACGACGACGACGACGACGACGACGACGACGACGACGACGACGACGACGACGACGACGGACGACATAGACAGCACAGACGACACAGACGACGCAGACGACGCGGCCAGGACGACGAGGACGGCGACGAAGGCCGAAGGACGACACCGACGACATGGACGACGCAGGTGACAGCCTCGACGGCGGCGGCGACGTGCGAGCCCAGTATGGATCTGGAGGTCCTCCTCCTCCTCCTCCTCCTCCTCCTCCTCCTCCTCCTCCTCCTCCTCCTCCGCGGAGGCAGAGAGAGAGAGAGAGATGCGGGCGTATCTTCGCGATCGCGACGTCGAGGGGGGCCCGTTCCGCCCTGGGGCCGAACGCGGGACGGTCCGCGGCACGGAACTGGGCCCCGCGGATGGAATCGAGGGGTCTGGGCCACGGCCGCGGAAGGGCCAGGGCGCAGGAGGTGCGCGGGCGCACGGGCACGAGGACGGTCTTGTCGGCAAGAGCGCGCTCTGCCCTCGAGTCCAATACTCCTAGGGAACCGAACTCTATACACCGACGCCTTTGTCTGGCCTCACACTGAATCTCGCACGGGGAAGCGGATCCTGGTGTATACGGGATCCTGGTGTATACATTCTTCTTTGTTTCCTCCGGAAAACGGGGGAAAAAAGTATACACCACACCACCCCGATGTCGTCCCCGACCCTCCAAAAAGTCCTGGGATTGAAAAACCGCCCGCCACTGGTAGTGTATATGCTCCAGTTTCCGAACTCCAGCGGTCCGACAGATCCCCCGCGGGAAAACCACACTGTGGAATGCTGCTGTGGGGCAACACATGTGCCAGGCGGACGGACGAGGCGGCGGAGGGGAATGCGCAGAGGAGGGAGGAGCGGAGCGGAGCGGAGCGGCCAAACATCAGTGCAGCGGGGCAGAGGAGTGAAGAGGGATCAGGAAGTGGAGACCCACCTCCCTGCTCCCTCCTCCTCTTGCTGATCCTCCTCCTCCCTCCTCCTCTTGCTGCTCCTCCTACTCCTCCTCCTCCTCCTCCTCCTCCTCCTTCTCCTCCTCCTCCTCCTCATCCTCCTCCTCCTCCTCAAGCGCCTCCCACTTCTCCTATTCGTTCAGGTCCTCCTCATCCGAATCCTCATCCTCAACCTCCTCCTGCTCGTGTCTTCCTCGTCCTCAACCTCATCATCCCCATCAAGATCACCATTAACAGAACCGTCGTCATCAGAACCCTGGCCCTGGCGATACATCATGAGTCCCGTGGGCGCCGTTACGTTCGGTTCGGTCACCGCTGCACGGCGGGTTCGCCGTATTCCCAACCCCAAGCTGGAAAGGGTGGCTCCTCGGAGAGCTCGAAGCTGTCGAGGTTGAGGTCCTGGGAAGACCAACAAACCCTGGCGCATTATCATCCCCGTCCCGCCTCCTCGGTCGTTCCCCCCTTCCACCGCCACCCCCCCCATCCTTCCTGCCCCCCTCCTGCCTCTCCAAGCACCAATATGAATGCGACTCACCCTGCTCCCCTGAACATGCGTGTTCGGGGCCCCATTATCTCCCGCGCATTGCTTCCCGCACTCAAAATTTCAAAATCGCATGCTCTATATGTAACTGTCCCATCGGGACGTTTCTGGTGTTCAAAAGGCTGTTTCCGCTGCAACCATGGCCTCATTTCACCCTCGGCGTCGCGCTCCCGTTGCTCAGCTGGTCAGAACGACCCTCTCGCCCCAACGCGGGCCACATTCCTTGATCCGATGTGTTCCTCGTATGTGGCTGACCCGTGATTCCCCTTCCTCCGCCTTCCCCTGGTTTTCCTGTTCCGCCCGCCCCGCCTCATCCTAATCCTACTGCTGATGCCGTTCATCCTCCACCTCTTCGTCCTCCTCCTCCTCCTCCTCACCTTCTTCTTCTTTTTCCTCATTCTCTACCTAGGCTCTGCCTATTGGGGTTCTTACTCTCTTGGCTTAAAGGGCCGGGCAGTGGAAACCGGCCCGGGTGGTTCCCCCAGTGTCCGCCCCGCGGTTCCCCCAGTTACGTCCCCTTAGCTGTGCGTTGCTTATCTCATTTTAGCTTAGCTCATTTCATCTTAGCTTAGCTTAGCTTCAGATTAGCTCAGGTTTATCTTAGCTTAGCTTACATTCAGCTTAGCTTCGTTGAGCTTTAGCATAGCAGAGCACAGCATAGCATAGCGTAGCAAAGCATAGCGCAGCATCGCATATCATAGCATAGCATGGCATAGCTTAGCATAGCACAGCGCAGCATGACATAGCATAGCTTAGCACAGCATAGCATAGCATAGCATAGCATAGCATAGCGCAGCACAGCATAGCATAGCATAGCATAGCATAGCGCAGAATAGCATGGCATAGCATAGCATAGCATAGCAACTAATGTTGCTTTCCTAGGGCCTCCAACTTCTAGGTAGGGTCGTACTGGGGTAATCCTCCTCCTCCTCCTCCTCATCATCATCATCATCCATCATCATCATCATCATCAGCATCATCATCATCATCATCATCATCATCCTCATCCTCGTCCTCCTCCTCCTTCTCCTCCTCCTCCTCGTCATCATCATCGTCATCGTCATCTTCATCAACAGCATCATCATCAGCAGCAGCAGCATCATCACCAAAACCACCACCACCATCATCAGCAGCAGCATCAGCATCAGTATCAGCCGCATCATCATCATCATCATCATCAGCAGCATCAGCATCAGCATCAGCATCAGCCTCATCATCATCGTCATCATCAGCATCATCAGCAGCATCATCAGCAGCATCAGCATCAACCTCATCATCACCACCAGCATCATCTGCATAATCTGCATCTTCCTCATCATCATCATCATCACCACCACGATCATCAGCCTCAGTATTATCATCATCATCATCAGCATCATCAGCATCAGCATCAGAATCAGCAGCATCATCATCACTATCAGCATCAACAATATCATCTGCATCATCATCAGCGTCATCATCAGCATCATCAGCCTGATCAGCATCATCATCAGAAGTATCACCATCATCTCATTCTTATCATCAGCATCAGCATCATCAGCATCATCATCATCATCAGCATCATCATCATCAGTAGCAGCATCATCAACATCATCATCAGCATCATCAGCATCGTCATCATCAGCATCATCATCAACAGCAGCATCATCAGCATCATCCTGACCAGCATCGTCAGCAGTATCAACATTATCAGCATCATCGTCATCATCGTCATCGTCATCATCAGCATCAGCATCATCAGCATCATCATCAGCATCAGCATCAGCATCCGCATCCGCATCATCAGCAGAATCATCAGCAGCAGATTCAGCATCATCGGCAGCATCATCATCACCATCACCACCATCACCACCGTCATCATCAGCAGCATCATCACCATCATCAGCATCATCAGCATCATCATCAGCATCAGCATAATCATCATCATGATCATCAGCAGCATCATCACCATCAGCATCATCAGCATTATCAGCATCATCATCAGAAGTATCACCATCATCTCATTCTTATCATCAGCATCAGCATCATCAGCATCATCATCATCATCATCAGTAGCAGCATCATCAACATCATCATCAGCATCATCAGCATCGTCATCATCAGCATCATCATCAACAGCAGCATCATCAGCATCATCCTGACCAGCATCGTCATCAGTATCAACATTATCAGCATCATCGTCATCATCGTCATCGTCATCATCAGCATCAGCATCATCAGCATTATCATCAGCATCAGCATCAGCATCCGCATCATCATCAGCATCATCAGCAGCAGATTCAGCATCATCGGCAGCATCATCATCACCATCACCACCATCACCACCGTCATCATCAGCAGCATCATCACCACCATCAGCATCATCAGCATCATCATCAGCATCAGCATAATCATCATCATGATCATCAGCAGCATCATCACCATCAGCATCATCATCAGCATCATCATCAGTGTCGTCGTCCTCCTCCTCCTTCTCCTCCTCTTCTCCTCCTCCTCCCCCCACACATTATCATCCGTCATCATTCTCCTCATCCTCCTCATCCTCCCTCTTCTCCTGCTCCTCCTCCTCCTTCTATTCCTCCTCCTCCTCCCCCGTATCAAATTTGGCTCAAGGCTTTGAGGTCCACAGTGCACCACGTGGAGACCTCCAGTCCACGGTTCTTTCGCGTTCTCGGGAGACAGTTCGCCCGGCTCTCTCACCGTGGGCAGTTCGCGCTGCCCACGGACGCTCGGCCGAGGTGGTGCAGCTGCGCGCTGCCACCTCGAGCCACTCTCGGTACGGCCAGGGCCAGTGCCAGCCCGTGGCCCATCCCCATCTTGCTCCGTCGTGTGGCAAACATCGCGGGCAACAGAAAGCAGAGCGAGCGTCAGGCTGCAACAAAGACGTGGCTGTGTCGTTCTTGTTGGAGCGCTCGCACAGGTGAGCGGTGGTGGAACGCAGATTCGACCTCATGATGTAGGCTGTGCAAGAGGCCGAAGGTCAAGTGACTCCACCCTGACAAGGGGAAGGAACACCGCCGTCCGTCTCTGTCAAGGAAAAGTCTCAGAACGTGGAGCCAAGTCAATAGGTCAAGCGTGTGAAGGCTGCGCTTGCGGCCGCGTCGAAGGTCAAGTCTAATATCCAAGGCTGCGGCGGCCGAAGATTCACCCATAGAAGTCGACGTTGGCTCGGCTGAGGAGGGTGCTACTCGCATGGCGGAGCTCCGTAGCAAGATCGACAGCCTCGTGCAGGTCATTGACAAGACGGGGATGTTAGCGACGGTGCGGGCGTATCTGATCAAGGAGCTCAGTGAATGCGCGACACCAATCCGCTGCCGATCCATGCCAGAGGGTCACGCAGCAGATTGTGGGCACAGACAAGCGGGTGGCCACGAAGCAGAGGCAGGATGGCCTCGATAAGAAGATTGAGGAGTTGCAGAGTGAGAGGGACGAGGTGGCACAGGGCATGGCAGCAATCCAAGTGGAGCTCGTGGGCATCGAGGCCCCGCGAACTCAGGTGGCGGCCACCTTCCCACAGCCGACCACCGTGATCGACGGCACGGTGGCCTCCCTCGACGCTGTGGTCCCGTCCGTGCGCATGTCGACTGCGCAGCTCGAGCACGTGGCCAGCAGCTTCGGTATCGACCAAGGGCTGGCGCGCGAGCTGGCGGCGGTCATCGGACGGGTGCGCCTGGCCGCCGTCAAGGCGGCCCAGACCACCGCCGAGGCTGACGCGGCTCAGATGCGCGCGGGGGCTGAAGCTGCGGCGGCTGAGCAGCATGCTCAGCATGCTGCAGATGGCGCGCAGCCTGCCGCTGGCCCAGCTGCTGGCGGCGGTGCGGCAGCTCCTGCGCCCGAGCCCAGCACGGGATGGATCCCCTCCAGCTTCGACGACCCCCAGGTCCTCAAGGCTTTCCTAGAGGCCATGGGATGCAGGTGCTAGAGGACGAGGAGGAGCTCAGAGGGGCGATCGAGAGATGCGGCGACGGGCGGCTGGACTTTGCAAAGAGGCCCCAGCTCAGTGCTTAAAGTGTTCGCCTTCTTCGCCTGCGCGCCGGCGGCGTCGGCAGCTGGATACAATGGCGGAGGCGCCGTGGCAGGTCAGGGCTTTGTCCCGGCAGGGCCTGCGGCCCGCAGCGCCAGCCTGCAGGTGAAAGGCCTCATCAATCCACCAATGTCTCGTCGCACGGTGCTTTGGAGACGCTGATGCCGCAGGAGTCGTTCCAGTCAGAGCTTGCTCTTGCGCGGGAACATCGCGCGGGTCTGGACCGAGCCCTCGGCCTTCAGCAGCGCGTTCAGAATCTTGGTTTCAATGGCGCATGGGAGGCGGCGCATATTTCCAAAGGAGGGGGCAATAATGGAGGCTGCGTGGTCCTGGCCAAGGCGGGGATCCAGGCCTCGCTTCCCCCTGGGAATAAGTCTAGCGCACCCATTCCAGGATATGCCATCTCGGGTCTCGTCACATGGGGAGCCCCTGATGGCATCGTCTGCGTGTCAGTCTGTTGGCACGATACAGTCGGTCTCAACTCGACCAAACTTGCCATCAAACGCGAGGTGGGCTTCTAGCTGCTAGAGATGCCCAGCCAAGGTCTTGCGCGGGTTGCTGGAGGAGATTTCAATGTCGGGCCGCCTGCCTTGATTCCCCTGTTCGACTCGATAGGAGGCGATCTGGTTTCTATCCAGGAAACCACCTGCAGACAGACGCTGCCAGGTCATAATTACGATGTCTTCGGGGTGAATGCTGGTCTGCTCGCACGCACTGGCGACGCGCAGGTTGACGAGGCAGCCGAGACGTTCCCAGGCAGCCCAGTTGCGCTATAGTTGCTGAGTGCAGATAAACCTCTATGATGTCAAAGTGGCATGGAAGCCCCCAGCTTTCGAGGCCAAGGCTCCACCAGGCTGCAGTCGTTACTAATTGTATTGGAAGCCTGTGCAGTGGTTGATCGATGCTGCTGGGAATGATGATTTGGAGCAGGCGTGGGATGACGTGATCCAAGTGATCAAGACGGCGTTCTGCGGGCGCAACGACAAGGTTGACCCCGAGGCTAACAAGTTGGACGCGCTAGCCCGCTGCGCTGGAGTTGGGTAAAGCATGGTTGAAAGCCGCTCAAATGCAGACCGCCGAAGAGAGGGTCTGTGACGGACGCGTGGGCGGCGGCGGCTGGATGGGCGCGCCATCTCAGGAGAGTCAGGGCCTGTGTGAGCGCCAGGATTCAAGAGCTGATGAAGCAGGAAGCAGGTGTGAGGTTACCATTGGCAAGCTTGCCAAGCGGAGCGCTTCTTCGACCGTGCGCTGCGCAAGAGGTGGGCATGGGTGGCGCTGGACCCATCTGTCAGGCCGTTCGTCGAGAGTGCGGTGACGGCTCTTGCTGACGACCATTTCGACGACATGGTTGATTGGGGGATCCAGAGGGCCGCCAATCTGGCAAAGGATTTCGCCGAGGCGCGGAACAAGAGCTGCATCGAGTGGGTCACTTCCAGTTTCTCCTAGCTGATCAACGACTGCCTCGACGACTGGGCCAAGGTATGGCGCACGCGCACGGCTGCGGGCTCCCCGAATGCGGCCCTCGAGCGGGGTGGAGGAGGTGAAGGCCGCCATGCGTTGCTCCTCCAGAGGCCAAGAGTGGACGGCGGTTGGACATTCCCGTCTGGCGCCTCGCAGCCTGCTTCATGCAAGCAACGAGGCTACGCATGCGATTGCTTCACGCTGCACGCGCTGCGAGTCGCGCTGCATGTGGCCGTCTGGGCGGATAGCCACTGAGCTTGTCAGGATGCCGAAGCCAGACAAGCCAGGAGAGCACAGACTCTTTGCCCTGCTGTAGACGCTCATGAGGGTCTGGGGGGAGGTTCGTCGCCCCGTGCCTGTCGAGTGGGAGGATCGGAATCGGAAAGGCTTCACTGATTCCCACGATTAACGATCCCGAAATTACGTGCTGGAAGGATTCAGAACTATGAGGGTGCGACGGTTACGCTGATTCGCGGTGTTGAAGTCACTGGAATGGCGGTCTGGTACGATTCAAGATCGTCAAGACGCAACAGTCAGGTTGATCCCTGACACTGGCACCCCGAGAACCAATGTGTGGCCTGCTTCAGGGTCTTCAAACGGTTTTTTGTCCAACGATGATGTTCCCTCAATGGAAATGAACCATTGTAAGGGGCCTATGAAAGGGGAGTTTGGAGGGAGAGTTTATTCCAACATCGTTGATGGCTCTTGGGTTTCCACTGGTCTTCCTCCTCCTCCTGTTCCTGTTCCTCCTCCTTGTCCTTCTCCTTATCCTCCCTCTTCTCCGTCGCCTCCCTCTCCTCCCTCTCCTCCCTCTCCTCTCTCTCTCTCTCTCTCTCTCTCTCTCTCCTCCCTCTCTTCCGTTTCCTCCCTCTCCTCCCCCTCCTCCCCCTCCACCATCTCATCCTTCTCCTCCCTCTCCTCCATTTCCTCCATTTCGTTCCTCGCCTCCCTCTCTTCCCTCTCCTCCTTCTCCTCCCGCGTCCCTCTCCACCCTCTCCGCCCTCTCTTCCCTCTCTTCCCTCTCTTACACCTCCTCCCTCTCCTCCCTTTCCTCCCTCTCCTCCGTCGCCGCCCTCTCCTCCCTCTCCTCCCTCCTCTCCTCGCTCTCCTCTCCCTCCTCCTCCTCTTCCCTCCTCCGCCTCCTCCTCGACCTCCCTCCTCCTCCTCCTCCTCTTCCTCCTCCCCTCCCCCTCCTCATCCTCCTCATCCTCCTCCTCCACCTCCTCCTCCTCCTGCTCCGAGCCTGCTCATCCTCCTCCTCCTCCCCCATCCGCCTCCTCCTCCTCCTCCTCCTCGTCTTCCGCCTCTTCCCCCTCCTCCTCTTCTCACTGTTCGCAGTGTTACTAAGAATGGTGGCAGTATAAGTATTAGCATAAGCATCTGTAGTAGTAGTAGTAGTAGTAGCAGCAGCAGCAGCAGCAGTAGTGATAGTAGTGGTGGTGGTAGTAGTAGTAGTATAGTTTTAGTAGTAGTATTAGCATTAGTACTAGTATTGGTATTAGTATTGGTACGAATATAAATAGCCATAGGAATGCTAAATATTAGTATGTCTGCTAGCACGAATAGTTAATAGTAGTAGGCCTGTCGTTGTTGGTACTAGTATTCGCATTAGGAATAGTACTCGCATTATTTGCAGTATCCGTACCCGTATTAGCGTTAGTATTAATGTTCGTAACAGTATGCGCATGAGAATTAGCATTAGTGTGAGCATGAGTGCTATACCTGACAAACCTAAATCGTTAGTGGTATTAGTAATGTTATAATTAGTAGTATTACTACTATTAATAGTGCAAGTACGAATTGTGACATTGTCAGTTTACTAGTTACTAGTTGTATTGCCAAAAAGTGTTGGCATTATTAGTACTAGAGTGTTACTACTAGTATTACGGGCACTAGTAACACTTTCAATAATACTACTCGCATGATTACTCTTAGTATGAGTGTTACCCGTATTGCCTTTGTTTCCTGTGAGCAGCATTGTCAGCAGTAGTACCAGTTGTAAACTTACTTGCAGTAAGCGTGTTACTGTCACTAAGCATATCTAATGTTAGTATCACCATTAGAACTATGAGTGCTCATATCAAGATGGTCAGTAATAGTACTGCCGTGATGTTCATTCGTATCAGTAGTCATACTAATAATACTACCGATAACGGTATAGGCCTACCGATACCACAACTATCAGTAGTAGTAGTAGTAGTAGTAGTAGGAGTAGTAGTAGTAGTAGTAGTAGTACTCATAGTAGTGCTAGTAGTCTGATTGTTGCTATAGACAACAAGATATAATAATAGTAATACTAATAATACTAATAATCACGATAATCTCAATATTGGTAGTAGTAGTCGTACTTGTAATATACTTGGTCGTATGATTGTTAACAGTATTTGAATTAGCATTCCTATTAGCATTAGTATTCGTATCCGTTGTCTCCTTCATGTTACGATTACTCAAAGTATTACTCTTCGCCGTATAATTACTAGTAGTGTTGTTCTTATTGATCTGCTTATTTAGTATTATCATGAATGCTATAAAGTACTATCATTATTCGTTTTTCGATTATCCTTATCATTATTGTTATGAAAGGTACTATCGTTATTGTTATCATTATTGTTATTACTCCTCCTCCTCCACCTCCTCTTTCTCCTCCTCCTCCTGTTGCTCCTCCTCGTCCTCCTCCTCCTCATCCTTCTCTTCCTCCTCCTCCTCTTCCTCCTTCTCCTCACCCACCTCCCCCATGGGGGGGCGGTCCACACCGCGTGGCACGCCTCCGGCGCGCATCGACACCGCGGCGCGCATCGCCGGGGTGCGCAGTCCGCCAGTCACGCTAGTGGCCTCGGGGCGGAGCGGGGAAGCGGGGGCGGGGAGGGAGGAGGGAGGGGAGGGGCAGGAGGAGAGAGGCTGGAGAGGGAGGGGGGGAGGCAGGAGGGAAGAAGGAAGGGAGGGAGGGTGCGAAAGAGGGAAATTGAAGGAAATATGGAAGAGGGAGGAGGGAGGACAGAAGAGGAAGGAGGACGGGAGGAGGGAGGAAAGAGGAAGGATCGCAAACATAGAACGAGAGAAAGTGAGAGAGGGAGAAAGAGAGAGAGAGAGAGCGAGACTGACATAGACACACACACACACACACAGAGTGAGAGAGAGAGATAGAGAAGCAGAGAGGCAGAGAGGCAAATGTAGACAGACAGACAGACAGGCAGCCAGCCAGCCAAAGGCCCGAGGGCGGCGAGAACGGCCGCTGCTGCGGCCCTGGGCGCAGGCGCCAGCCGCCGGGGACCCGGCGGGCTGGGCAGGCCGCCCGCCCCTCGCGCGGGAGGCGGGCGCTGGCGCGCGCGCCGCGCGCGCGCGCCGCGCGGGCGCCGCGCGGGCGCCACGCGGGCGCCGAGGCCTCGCAGCTCGGGGCGTCGGGGGCCACGTCGGGGGCACGACCCGCCCGCCGGGTTGATCTTCCGCTGGACTGCCGAGGCGCCGGCCGCGGAGGGCCCTTCCAGCTCGGAGGCGAGGGCCACGCTGAGGGGGGCGGCCGCCCACGCGCTCGATCCCTGGCCGGGCCGCGGAGAGGCCGGAGTCGGAAGGCCCCTCCAGCTCCAGCCCGGGGTCGGGCGTCACGCTGGAGAGAAGCCGCCCGCGCGCTCGATCTTCGGCTGGAGCGTTGAGAAGCGAACCGCGGAGGGCCCTTCCAGCTCGGGGCCAGGGGCCACGTCGGGGAACGGCAGCCCACGAGCCGAACCTCCGGCTGAATCGCTGCGAGGCTGGCCGCGGAGGGCTCTTCCAGCTCGGGGTCAGGGGCCGCGTCGGGGAGCGACCGAGCGCTGGTTTGACCTTGGGCCAGGCCTTTGGGGGCCGGCTGCAGAGGGCCCTTCCAGCTCGGGGTCAGCGGCCGCGCTGGGGGCCGACCTCCCACGGCCATGAGCTTCGGCTGGACCGTTGAGAGGCTGGCCGCGAAGGGCTCTTCCAGCGCGAGATCAGTGGGCCGCATCGGGGAACGACCGCCCACGAGCTCGATCTTCGGCTGGACTGTCGGGCGGGCGGCTGCGGAGGGCCCTTCAAGCCCAGGGTCAGGCGCCGCGTTTGGGTACGACCGCGCGCGAACATGATCTTCGGCCTGGCCGTCCGCCGCGCCAGGATCGGCGGCGGCACCGCCGCCCAAAACCGCGGCGCCCTCGGCGGTTGGCGCCCCACCCACGCCGACACGCCCTGCGCAGTTCGGCACCAGCTGCCCAGCCAGCGCAGGCACGCCGTGCCGCACGCACGCAGCAGCAGCGCGAGCAGCCGTCACCGTGGCTGGGAGGGGCACCGCCCTGAACTTGTACAGCGAGTCCACGCCCACGTTCGGCGGGTCGCGGCCAGCAGCTCCACCAGGTGCAACTCTGACCTCCACAATGTCGGGCCCGTTGACGTCCTCATCATCGTCGTCTCCGTCAGGCGTGACGCTGGCCACAAGGGGAGCTGGCGTTGCCCACTGGCAGGACGACCAAGCGCTCGCGCTAGAGCCGCTGGGCCTCGCGTGCGCAAAACCGCCCGGCAACACACTCCGCACGCCGTCGCCAGTGGCTGGGCCACCACCCCGCTCGGCGGCGGGCCTGAGCGGAGGCGACTGCCCGGCGCGCCTGCCGCCGAGCCTCTCCCTTTGCACGTCGCTCCGCGCGGCCACCCACGCGAGCACCGTGGGCGGCGGCGCCGGCGAGGCCGCTGCGGCCGTGGCGGCCGAGGCGGTCGCCCTCGGCGGGGACGGCGCCCCGTCGGGGCAGGCCCCGCGCCGTCCAGCGAGGCAGCTGGCTGCGACGGCCACCACGAGGCAGCCTGGCAGAGGAGACGAGCAAGGTTAGGGGGCCACATGCGAACCCTACCCCTACCCCCCACGATTTCTGGGGGGGAGGGTGGGCTTCACTTCGCTCGGGAGCTCTCGAACAAAGTGAACCCCACCCTCCCCCTCAAAAATCGTGGGGGGCAGGGGTAGGGTTCGCATGTGGCCCCCGAAAGGTTCCCCCCTGGTGGAAGGAGCTCGCGGGGGAGAGCTCCCGTCTCGGGCCCTGGAGGTGGGAGCGCACGGGCCCTCCGGGCAGCTGGGGCACTCCGGCGTCGGGCAGATCCCGCAGGTCAGCTTCGGCCCACCCGACGGGCACGGCTGGCTCCGCGAGGTGAGAGCGGTGGAGCCTCCTCTGGCAATCTCGGTCCCCGCACGGGCCAGAAATTGCTGCATCGACGGCGTGTGACCAAAGAGCTTGAGCCACAAGTGCGGCAGAGAACAGGCATAGCAAGCATACAGGCATAAAGATAGCCATACAAGAGGCACTTGCGTGCCCAGGCTCATACACAAAGAACTGCAGCACGTGAGCATCGAAGAAAGCGGACAAGAGGGATGGAGAAGTAGAGGAAAAAGAGACAAGGAGGAAAATGAGGATCACCAAGAAGCTGTTGGAAAGGAGGTGCAAAAGCGGGATCGAAGTCGAACGCAGGCGGGGCTGCCACACCTTGCGATGTGTGTACGTGTGTGGCGCAAGAGGTGGTTCCCCACCTTGCGATTGCAGTTTAAAACAAAGCTGCGAGACCAATGCTTGGAGGATTTCTCGAGCGATACTGTCGTTCTGAACCATGCAGACAACTTTGGATACGTCGGGTTTCAATGTTGGTGGGATGTCTCACGCGAAACGGGTGCTTTTCTAAGAGCGACGTCCGAAGTCATTGAAATATTTTGTGTTAAAGTTGTTTGGTAAGATGTTGGAAACCCGTTGTGTCTTTGGACCGTGACGTCGCGATCTCCGTGAGGGGTGTTTCCGATGTTCAGAATTTGCATGATGCCCCGAACGAAACGGCCAGAGAAAGAAGGGAAACGGATTCAAATTAATCGCCTCTGAGCTCTACTCCCTCGGCCAAATGCGCATGATAATATGTTCATTTACATAATGATTGAGAGACGGAGAGAAAGAAAGAGAGAGAGAGAGAGACAGCAAACAAAAGAAATAAAGAGAGAGATAGGGAAAAAGGATTGAAAGGAGAAGATGCGAGAAGGGTACATAAAAAGGAGGGACGGAAAAGCAAGACGAGGGTTCATGTGACGTTTCCATAAACGTGCTCTGAGCACCACCCGGAAAGTGCTGCCATGGAGAGCGCTGCCGAGACACGTGGCATCGGCCCACGGGCTCCAACACGAGCGAACTGCACCGAGGCGGACGCCGCCCGCGCGCCCACGGTGAACTTCTCCAGGCCGAACTGCACGCCGCGAGGCACCCCGCCAGCCCGCATGGACACCGCTGCGCGCATCGCCGGGGTCCTGAGGCCACCTGTGACGCTGGTCGCCATGGAGAGCGCCGCCGACACACGTGGCATCGGCCCACGGGCTCCAACACGAGCGAACTGCACCGAGGCGGACGCCGCCCGCGCGCCCACGGTGAACTTCTCCAGGCCGAACTGCACGCCGCGAGGCACCCCGCCAGCCCGCATGGACACCGCTGCGCGCATCGCCGGGGTCCTGAGGCCACCTGTGACGCTGGTCGCCATGGAGAGCGCCGCCGACACACGTGGCATCGGCCCACGGGCTCCCACACGAGCGAACTGCACCGAGGCGGACGCCGCCCGCGCGCCCACGGTGAACTTCTCCAGGCCGAACTGCACGCCGCGAGGCACCCCGCCAGCCCGCATGGACACTGCTGCGCGCATCGCCGGGGTCCTGAGGCCACCTGTGACGCTGGTCGCCATGGAGAGCGCCGCCGACACACGTGGCATCGGCCCACGGGCTCCAACACGAGCGAACTGCACCGAGGCGGACGCCGCCCGCGCGCCCACGGTGAACTTCTCCAGGCCGAACTGCACGCCACCTGGCGGAAATGTTGTTCCCAGCAAGCTTCTGATCATTTAAAAACGAATTATTCACTGCGTGGGGATCCCCATATGTGCATCTCTTTGCTGGCGCTCCATTGGTGGTGGGACTCGGTGAGGACGAATCTGGATTTAAGTGTGACTGAGCTGCCTCTCTCTCTGCTCTCTCTGCTCTCTCTGTCTCTCTCTCTCTCTCTCTGCCCTCTCTCTGTCTCTGCCTCTCTTTCCCTGCCTCTCTCTCTCTCTCTGCCTCTCTCTCTGCCTCTGTCTCTCTGCCTCTCTCTCTCTCTCTGCCTCTCTCTCTGTGCCTCTCTCTCTCTGCCTCTATCTCTGCCTCTCTCTCTCTCTCTCTCTCTCTCTCTCTCTCTCTCTCTATTCTCTCTCTGCTCTCTCCTCTCTCTCTCACTCTCCCTCTCTCTCTCTCTCGCTCTCTCTCTTCTCTTCTCTTCTCTTCTCTCTCTCTCTCTCTCTCTCTCTCTTCTCTCTCTCTCTCTTCTCTTCTCTCTCTGCTCTCTCCTCTCTCTCTCACTCTCTCTCTCTCTCTCTCGCTCTCTCTCTCTCTCTCTTCTCTTCTCTTCTCTTCTCTCTCTCTCTCTCTCTTTCTCTCTCTATCTCTCTCTCTCTCTTCTCTCTCTCTCTCTTTCGCTCTCTCGCTCTCTCTTGCTCTCTCTCGCTCTCTGTCGCTCTCTCTCGCTCTCTCTCTCTCTCTCTCTCTCTCTCGCTCTCACTCGCTCTCTCTCGCTCTCTCTCGCTCTCCCTCGCTCTCTCCCGCTCTCTCTCTCTCTCTCTCTCTGCTCTCTCTCTCTCTCTCTCTCTCGCTCTCTCCCGCTCTCGCTCTCTCTGCCCTCTCCCGCTCTCTCCCGCTCACGACACAACCCAAGAGGCTGCTGTGAACACGCACATGTTCAGACGCTTACACCCCGGTATGTGTCCCTCCTCGAAGCTTGCACGTGAGGGTCCTCCAACGCGTGGCACGTCCAACGCGCATACGCTCGCTCTGTGTGACTGGCGCTTGGCCGACGAGGCGGGGAGAGGACGAGACGGGGGGGGGGGGGCGACTCATGGGCCCAGAAATTACAAACCGATCGAGTATTTGACCAATATGCCACACATGCTCAACTCCGTCGCCACGGGGGTGCAATCGATGGGGTGGTGCCAGGCGAACAGAGCAAAGCTCACAAATTGTGAAAAGTGTGACTTTGCACGAAGGTGAAGACAAGAATGAAGAGTGATGGCGAGGGTAACAACGCTCAGGCTGGAACCACGCTCCATTGGCAGCCAGGGGTTAGCCAGGTTCTTCGGGCACGCTGTGCGGAAACCACCAGTCAAGAGTGATGAACCTCTCGGGGGCCTCAAATTTATCAAATGTACCTTGTGAGGAAAATTGTTCCCGCCGCTTCTGCGCCCCCGGCACGCCGCCAAGGCGGCTGTTCCACTGCAGGTTTTTACGTTTCCCCGATTCGGGCAACTCGCCTGGCGATCATTTCTGGACGGGCTGGTGGGGATACTTTTTGGTCAACAGGCTCGCGAGGCGGGTCGAAAGACGTCCGAGCACTAGTCGGGCCGCGACTAAGCAGCAAGAAAAGAAAGGCAAGCGAAGCGAACGAGCGGGCAGCCACTCAGAAGGAGAGCCAGAACCGATACTCCCAAACCCGGTGGCGTTGGAAATCCCGGTGGCGACCAGCAATTCAGCGCAGCCAAAATGGCGCGGCGGTGCGACCATAAACACGCAGAGGTCGATCGCTCGGCGTGAGTCAGGCAAAGGGCATCGCCACATACGAACTATACCGACAGGCACACCCAGACGACATCCGTGCAGTAGACGACACATATGCCAAAACATCGTGTCGGCGCAAGAGTGATGAGGGGCAACCTCATCACCGACAAGACTGCAAACGGCAGCCGACCTGCAACATTCGTCGAAAGCGAAGTCCATGCAGGACAACGTCGGCCAAGGAGCGTACAGAGCCACACTTGCCGAACCCGAGGTCAAAGTACCGTAAGGTAGGCAGTGTAGCGAGAGACCTACTGGAACCTTCTGGTCAACAGCGGGGGCCGATCCGGCCAGGAGCAGGCCAGGGGGCACCTGACCTCAGCGAACGCGACGCAGCGCCATTCCCCGTGTGAATCTTTGCATGAAACCCAGACCACTTGAACGCCATCAAGAAGCAGTATTGGGCAGCAAACCGCAGCCACCAGGGAAGAACCCCTTGAAACAGGAGGGAGAGCACCCCAGTGCAACAGCAGCCCTGTGGCATAAGGATGCAGGAGGAGAGGAGGGGAAGTGCACGCCAGGCACGGTAGGCACCCCGGTGAGGCAGCTGACCGCTGCAGCACTAGGATGCAGGATAGGAGGGAAGGAAGTGCACGCCAGGCACACGGTGTGAGAGGAGGGGGGAAGAAACATATACACGAGCAGTTGATGCTGACTGTGCCATTCGTGGCTGTGCCATTTTTTGTCCGCGTTCACTATGCCAAACCTGACTGTGCCAGCCGTGGCTATGCCAACCCGGACTGTGCCAAATAAGCTCTTGTGGAAAGTGAACGTTCATAACGACACTTGCCGAACTCGAAGTCCTTGCACCGTAACTGTCAGCAGTGTATCGAAATCCCACTGAACCCTTTCGGCCATCAGCAGGGGGGGTGGCACCGTCCTAAGGCAGCCAGTGGGCACCTCGCCGCCCACTCCCAATGTGAAACTTTGCGTGAGATCCAAGCTGACGGAGCACCATCCGGCAGCGGTACTGGCGGCAGCCCCAGCCGCAAGGGAAGATCCCAGTGAAACAGGAGAGGGAGAGTCAGCTAACCGCTGAAGCAGAAGGAGAAGAAGGAGGAGAGCTCACCATAACCCTGTGTACACTGACGCGCACGCCAGGCGTTTTGTATCGAAGATTATCTCAGTAAACCCGCCACTGGCACCAGCTTGCCGTTGCTCTTCACACGAAGTCCTGGGTAAAGCTGGGCTCTTTCAGCCGCGAAATAGCGTGCAAACACGGATGACGAGACCTTCCATTGGGCTAACACACCGTCCCATATGCGCCAACGGGTGTAGGCAATGCATGCTTTCTGGTTTAGCCACGCACTAGTTACTGCAAGAGCCCGCAAGGAGGTGCCGTCGATGAAACATTCCGGGCGCTCTTCAACGGGACGCTTGGCAGGGACAATCACGGAGGGCTGCCAGTCTGAAGCCGCCATTGAGCCGCAGTGAAGCGTCAAGAATTCGGTGGGGATACGTGAAACGTCGAGAATTCGGTCGAATATCGAATCCAGCAGCAGCGGGGCTCCCCTCGCTTGCGAGGAGCACATTGCGAGGACGCAGCCGCGCTCTCATGGGGCAGAGACTGCCGGGAGACCTCGGGCGGGAGCCACAATCTCCTGGGAGACTCGAAGGCGAGCCACAATCCCGTGGTGCACGCGTTTGCTCCTGTCGACGCTGCTTCGGCCTGAACTCAGTTTCTGGCAAGACAGTTGCATACACAATTCCGCACAGGCGGGAGGAGGAAGGGCTCGCAGCGCTTCCCTACCTCCGCGGCCATGTGCCCCAAAGGCCCCACGGAGGGCCGCCCTGGCAGCCCACATCTTGCACCGTACACGCCTCGAGTCCGGGACAACAGTCGGCGGAGGACAAACCTCCCTTTAGTAAACCTCCCCTTAGTGAGATCGGCCCAGGACCGCAACCGACGGACCTAGACCCGCAAAAGTAACGGCCGCGACGCCCTCTCGCGATCCGAAAACGGCCAATTCCTTCATCGACGTGTCAGGGTAGGAGGCCTGTCCACCCCCGAATTTTGCACCGCACGCGCCCCGAGTCCGGGACAAAAGCATCCCCCCCCCTTCGAGGAGGAGGAGCCCGCGCCTCTCCGTGTGGGCCTGCCGGCCGAGGAGGCCGCCGCGGGCAATGCCCGCGCTCGCGAGGACGCCTCGGCGAGGACGCCCCGGGCGGGGGCCGCCCAGAGGCAAAGGGACAGGTCGCGAGAGGAGGCCTCGGGCGGAGGGCCGCGCCCTCTCGGGGCCCGCGGGGCGGGCGAGGTGGGCCTCTCGCGCGCTCCTCCTCCCTCCTCCCTCCTCCCTCCTCCCTCCTCCTCCTCCTCCTCCTCCTCCTCCTCCTCCTCCTCCTCCTCCTCCTCCTCCTCCTCCTCCTCCTCTCCTCCCCCTCCTCCTCCTCCTCCTTCTCCTCCTCCTCCCCCTCCTGCTCCTGCTCCTGCTCCTCCTCCTCCTCCTCCTCTTCCTCCTCCTCCTCCTCCTCCTCCTCCTCTTCCTCCTCCTCCTCATCCTCCTCCTCCCCCTCCTGCTCCTCCTCCTGCTCCTCCTCCTCCTCCTCCTCCTCCTCCTCCTCCTCCCTCCTCCTCCTCCTCCTCCTCCTCCCTCCTCCTCCTCCTCCTCCTCCTCCTCCTCCTCCTCCTCCCTCCTTCTCCTCCTCCTCCTCCTGCCCATCCCCCTCCTCCCTCCCCCCCTCCTCCATCTCCCTCCTCCCTCCTCCTCCCTCCTCCCTCCTCCCTCCTTCCCTCCTTCCTCCTCCTCGCTCCTCCGTTCTCCCTCCTCCCTCCTCCCCTCCTCCCTCCTCTCCCTGTCCCTCGTCCCTCCTCCCTCCTCCCTCCTCCCTCCTCCCTCCTTCCCTCCTCCCTCCTCATCCCTCCTCCCTCCTCCCTCCTCCTTCTTCCCTCCTCCTCCTTTTCCCTCCTTCCCCTCCTTTTCCTGCTCCTCCTCATCCTTCTCCTCCTCCTCCTCCGCCTCCTCATCCTCCTCCTCATCCTCCTCCATATCCTCCTCCTCCATCCCTTTTCGTTCTAAACAACTCCTCCCTGTCGCACCCCAAGACGTGTGGGCAGAACGGGCAGGGCATTTCGCCTTAGACTTCCCCGCCACTTGTGATCCTAAGGCGTGACGTTTGCAACAGCTTCACGGATGGAGGACGGTTTCTGGTCAAAATGTGGTTGCCGCCCTAGCGCCGCACACATTCGCCTTTAGAATCTGCAACGAAATCCCGGATCCGTAAGATAGAAATCTCCGAAACGGTTTTCCGGCACGATTTAGGAATGTCGGAACCTAACTGTCGCGTTGATTCACGGTGTCGAAGACCCAAGAACGGCGTTATGGCACGATTTCGGATCGTCAGGACGCAACAGTCACGTTGATTCGCGGCGCTGAAGTTTTAGGAAGTGTGTTGTGGCACGATAGAGGATTATCATATTGTTGTCTTCTAATGGGCCACTTCCCGAAGTGAGCATGAATGCCTTTAGGGACCTATGAATATGGAACTCGGGGCGAGGGAGAGGGTGTGTTGCAACGTCGTTGATGCATTTTGGGTTTACACTGGTCTGCCTCCTCCTCCTCCTCCTCCTCCTCATCCTCCTCATCCTCCTCCTTCTCTTCCTCCTCCTCCTGCTCCTCCTCCTCCTCCCTCGCGCTTGCCTCCCACCTCCCGCCTCCAACCCAGATCCATGCAAGCGCCCACTTTGGCGAAACATACCTAAAAAGCGTTCCCCGAGTGAAGCCGACCACCGTACACGCCGTGCATGCGCGGGTTGAGGGCTTCCTCGTCGATAGTGCCATCCTGCACCTGAACCTTGGCGTGGTAGCGCTCGTTCCAGAGCTGGGGTACCTCGGGAGCCGAATGGTATGCGGTCACACGAGCTAAGTGGCAAGCTGATTCCTTGAAGTATGCAGCAGATCATCGTCGGGCGGTGACCATCGTTGAGATCGGCCTCAGCAGATGTGCTTTCGCGCGTGCCTGCGAACCGTCGTCCTGGGGCACTCCCAGCTCTGCCCACGGATCAGCTGGCCAGCTGCCCAGGCGACAGGCGCCCTCCAAAGCGTGCGCGCATGCTCGGTTTACGACAAGACGTGTGCGCGCGCATTTGCTCGCAAGCCTGCTTGCACGTGCGCTGGACACGTCAATCTCGCGCACACCTGCACGTAAGCGTGACCAGGCAGGCTGCGCAAGCGCATGCAAAACGAGATCCAGGCTGCATCAGAGTATGCATTCCTCGTGGGATGCCCGGCCGAAGCAGCGCACTTTTCAGCGTGACTAGAGCAAGGGGCTGCCTCCGTCTCCCATATGAGGCGACGGATGCAAAGCGATCACGGCGTTATCTGAAAGCGCAACGAAGCACTGATGGCCACTAAACTCTTGCAGTGCTCCCGCACACGGGCCGAAGCTGCCGCAACGTGCGAGCTGGGCTGGCGTGGATGAGGGGAACGGGGAGGGAAAGGAGGGCGGGGAGGGGGGCGGCAGGAAGAGGAGCGAAAAGGGGAGGGGGAGGGGGGAGGGGGGACGGGAGAAAGATAGGGAAGGCAGGGGAGTGGGGAGTGGAAAGCATGGGCAGTGACATGTGGGAGACAGGGGACAACAGGGGGACAACGGACGCGAGATGGGCCGGGGGACGACATCATCCCTACACACCGATCCTGGAAAGCCAACAAGCCTGATCCAAGGATCGGTGCAGTCGCGCTCCTCGCTCTGCCAGGGGGAGCGTGCCCACCAGTCCCGGGCCCAGGATTTTGACACATCGCCAGGGTGGCCCATGTGGGCATGTTCTGTCATCTTCCCCGCGCATCCACCACACATCCCGACGGGCGCGCTCTGTACCTGCCTGGCCACGGGGAACTTTCGTGGGCTCCTTGATCCGCCACCGTGCCCCCTGGCACGTTGGAGGCGCGCTGGGGTGCCAAGTGCTGCCTGGCAGGGCTTCTGCAGCCTTCCAAGGACCACCACCCCCCTCTCGCTTTGGACGCCCGGAATGGGTACGGAAAACATGGGTACAATGCCCAACCACGAATGCTGTCCCAAACCAGCAGCGGCCGCTGTTGGGCAGGCGGCCTTCTGTCTCGAATGGACACAGGCCGCGGCGGCGCGGACAGCGAGTCCTGTTCAGCATGAACCAGATCCGCTGTTGGGCATTGTACCCGTTCTTTCCGTGCCCATTTCGTTCATGCAGACTCGTGTCACACTGCCCCGCATGCATCTCCCCCTCTCTCGAGGCCACAGGCCCTCGCAAAAAGACGACCGATTCGCGCTCCGGAGGCAAAGGTGCCTCCCAGACGCCCCGAGATGGCTCCACGGCGGCCCACGAGGCCCTCGGGACGTCCCAAGAGAGCCCCAAGAGCCTTCCCAAGAGGGTCCCAACAGAAAAAAGTCATTCATGTTCCGTAGGTTGTCCGTTGTTTGGGGGTTTTAGCCTTTTCGAACTTCCGACGTTCCCAGACGGCCCAGGAG